GATGTTATTCATTCGGGACAATTCCACTATAAAATTGCTGTTACAATGCATTTGCGCTTATTGCTGGTGTAAGTTGGTCAGCAGGGTTGTCGTCACTTTGAACGAATGACCAGATTGCTTGAAGTGCTTTTTCTCTGATTCCTTTGATTATGTTGGCAACGAACAAATCCCCTTTGCTTGTTTTCTTGATCCAGTGAAGCACAGTCATCGAGTACGTGCAGCAGTGTATTCCCCGAAATCTTTCGCTGAAGTGACCTTTTATGTAGTCGCCTAATCTTGACGCTACCACCGCTACCATCAGTTCAAGTCGCGCCAATGTGAGCTCTTTAATCGGAGCTACGCGGCTTCTCGCTGTTACCAGCCTTGATTCTTTGTTTCCATCGTGGTATGCTGCTATTAAGTTTGCTGCTGCTCCGTATGCTGATGGGCTCACTTCAGCAAATGCATGCACCTTGAATGCTTGTACTGGTTGATTCTTGCTTGCGTAGCATCGGATGAATTCTAGAACTCAAAAGTCCTCCGCTTCAGACAAGAAGTTCTTCTATTTTTCGCATTCTTCTTTAAGGAGCTGGTTGTCCCACGTTACGTTCATTTGTCAAAGTCTCTGCAGTCCTATATTCGTGCGTATTGTGAACGGCGATAACAAACCGAGCAGGTCAAATATCTTCGCTGTGGTTTGTAACACGGCCGTTTTTGTCAAGTAGCGTTGTGTTTGTTAATGATTCACACTTTTGAACAGAGAATGAAATCATGTCCTTTGAGTGTTTCCGTATCAAGCCCAGAAGCATAGAAAAATCCTCTAGATCGAATCTTCATGTAAGAATCGCCCCTTTCGTTTTCATCTATTTCTGTTGTTTAATTGGTCTTCACGGGATTTCCATTTTCTCAAATTCATCGCTGCCTCTATGAACGCTTGCTTTGTATCTTTGTACAACTTGACGGCGTCATCAAGCGTTGCTGCTCCATGAATGACATCATTCACGTAGACCGCTTTCTGCAGTGTCCTTGTCGTATCAGGAAACCGCTCTTCCACTTGTTTCAAATGATGTTTAATTGCAGTTGCCAGTATAAACTGGCTTGGTGTTGTTCCAAACGTTACGCTTGTCATGCGCCATGTTTGCACTTGATTTATAAACCTTCCCTCAGTGTCATGCTTCCACCACAGAAATTTCATTGCATCTTTATTCTGTTCGTGTATAGAGGTTTGTAGAAATGCCTTTTCAACATCTCCTTCTAATGCCACCTTTCCCTCACGGATATTAATGAACAGTGATAGGATGTCCTCATTCAAATCAGGTCCTGCCTCTAAGTTATCTTTTAAAGACATGCCTTTCCGATAATGTGATGAGGCGTGGAACAATACTCCAATATTTGCTGTGGCTCGGTCCTCTCGCATGATCGCACGATGTGGCATATAATAGCAAAGTGCATTTGCCTGTTCTGATGGCTCTTGGACCTCCTCTGTGACTCCTAATGCCATATACTTTGATATAGCTTTGTCTTAGCGATGCAGCACGTCTTCTTTTTCTGAAGCCTTTCAGTCAGTTGCTGTAGTCTTTTCATCGCATTTTTCTTGTTGCTTTTCGAGTTTACGTCCTGTTTCCATGGAAAGCTGACTTGATAGCGACCGTTTTGTGGTACAATCTTGCGCTCGAATTCTTTTACCACTTCATTTCCTGTGTTATTCAAGCTATTTTTTTGTGATCCCCATTGACTTCAGGCTCCAAAACTTCTGTAGCTCTTGCTGGAGTTCTGTCTCCGCAGCTTTAACCTTCAGAACCATGACTGCTTGATTATGTGTTAGTTTTGTCTTGCTCTGCTCTGACGGCCCCTGGAGTACCCATCCCAGTATAGTTTCTACAGCCATCAGTCTGTGCTCCTTTCTTCGAGTTCTACCGGTAAGTAATTCCCAATAATAGTCTGAGCCGATCAGCAGTTCTACAGAATCTGTTGCACTCGTCTCGGTCCTTTGATCCGCCACTTGCATCCTTAGCTGTTTCATTTTCTCTCTGAGTGTCTGACTTGGAGTGGGTACACAACTGCGCGAGATAACGTCGAATTGTAACGCTTCAATCACTGTTGTCGTTCTTGTTTCTCGTAATCCTATAGTCACTTGCACCACGTTCATTAGCTTGACCTTTTCGTCTCCTCCAAATGAACCAATCGTCAGCCTTTCCTGTTGCAACACCTTCCCACCTATTTATCTTGCTAATCCCACTTGAATAAATGAACGTTGACTTCCGCTGTCTAATAGCAAACGGCAATGTCGGCCACGTGTTTCTCATTCTATGCATTTGACAGCCGTCTGCAAAAGCATACACCTATGCTTGATATTTTTTCTTGCGTGTAGCGTAGACGTCGTCACTTCGGCTTGCGCTGTTGAGACTAGCTCTGACCTTGTTTTCTGCATGACAGTTCTACACACTGACGTAGCATGTCGTCACTTGCATTGCTTGCATTTTACTTAGGCCTTGCAAATGCGTGTAGTATAGTTTGGTCTCGTGCATCTGAAGCATGCTATATTCTCGGTAAGCATAGCTTTCTTTACGTCCGTTGGAATGTTCCAACGACAATTTTCGGTTGCGTGGGTTTTCTGCATGCAGAATAAGCATATTCTGTCCGCTGAGCTATAAAAGCTTGAAGTTGTGCGCATCTGTCGGCCGTTATTTCTTGGTTTTGCAGTTATCCTCTCTTGTTCACGTTGTGTTTCTTCACAAAAAGCCACTTTCTCTTTTAAGAATAACATAAGCCTGTCCAGCTTTTCCTCGCATGCTTTTCCTGTTGGGTTGCTTTGCTCGCCATTTTCTGAATTTGAGCTGTTTCTCATAGCCTCTTTTGACTTGAACTGCACTGATAATTCTGGTGGAATCGCTTTTTTAAATACTGGTAACAACATCAGCGCATAGCTTTCGGTTTCTACTTTTAGGGACTTGAGTGTCAGTGTATTAACTTGCACTCTTTGTACTAGCCTATTTATGTCATCGGTATCTTGAGCAGACCTCACTTTCTCCAAACTCAAGAGCTCATTCATATGCATCTCCATTGAATGTTTGCGATTGCCAAAAAATTGTTGCAGTTATTTGATTGCATCGTCATTATTTTTCTCTGCGGAGTACTGAAAACCTTCAATAGCAGCCGCCGCTTTTACGGTTAGCGATGCTAACAAGTAATTGAACTCCTGTCCCTTGCTCATTTTTGGTCTCAGGGGATCTGCCGACTCATACTGAGCCCAAAAGCGGTTCGACTCTAAAGATTTCCCCCCGAACATGACCATTTCAAGCTTTGGTAGCTTGACTAGTTCCATTGCTTCTTGTCCTCTATTTGATGGCATCACCTGTTTTGTCCTATTGTTTGAATCTGATTGTGCAGGCTGTCGAAGTCTGCATTCCATTGCAGACAAGGTCATCCTTAATTTCATGTCGTACTCTATTACCCTTTCGAATTCACCTTCGACATTGTCTTTTGTCAGAAACTTTTTCATTTGCTCGTTCACGCTCTTGAGATTGTCGCTTATTCTTTCAATCTGTTCCTACATTGTAAGCAGTTGTTCCCGGTTAGTTCCACCATGAATTTACTGCTCGGATGCGTTAATCAGTCGTGAGATCTGGGAGCGAAGCGCTTTCCTTTTCTTCGTTATCACTTCCTTGCTCATCTTCAGGTGGTTAACAATGACTCCTTACTTGTCATTCGTTCGTTAGGATGCTCGTACTGTCCACCGTGGTCTCGTCACTCGATCCAGGTCTATCCTCTGCTCCTCCACCATTTTCTTCTCTGCGCCTCCATGGCAGGTTCACCTTTCCTGCTGGCGAGAAGGTAGTATCTTGGTTCACGGCACTATTATTAAGGCGATCGAGACCAGGGACTGCTTCGAACGAATACGGTTTATTAGAAGTGAAGTAGCACGCGCTCGGTCCAGGCAACAGTCTTCTTTCTTCTTCTTCCGGCGTTTGATGATGATATTTTATAGTCTCCCTTCCGCGGCAAGGCCCCCAGGAACAGAGGATACAACGTGGTAGACTGGCAGGTCTTCCAGCGGCTCTTCAAGGAAGACACGAGTGGCGGGGACCTCATGCAGCTGGTGGCCGACAGCGCTAAGGTAGCAACAGTTGTCACTAAGGCTCCGCAGAGACAGCCCGTCTTGGACATCAGGCGCCTGGCACTGAGGGCGGCACGGCGGCGAGAAGAGCCGCGGGCCCTCAAAGGGGCTCTACCGGAACTATGGACGGCATTCCGTAGGATAGATACAGTTTGCCGACGTCATGCCCGCAGGCGCCGGAAACAGGGCTGGGAAGCATCTGTGCCTTCATCAACTGTTCAAAGGATGGGGCCCGCGCCTGGTGCTTGCTGAAATACCTCCTGATAGTGCCACGGGCAATGAAACAGGTGCTGTCTGTGGCCGTGTACATGGCAGTCCCTGCTTCTGAGCTTGCTCAGCTCCTGGCCGATCAGTTTGCCACCAGGAACATCGCCTAGCTGGCCCCTCTGCCACCGTCGGACACCCTAACGCGTCCAACCTCCTGCCATCATCCAGGCTGGGTGGCCGCACAGAACTAGGAACTGTGCAGCGAGCCCATCCGGATGCACGAGCTCGTGGCGGCCCTTGAGGGATCCAGGCGACGCTGTGCCCCAGGAGCAGACGGCATCACCTTCCAGATGCTCCGCAACCTGTAAAAGGGAGGCCGTCAACGTCTCCCGGGATATTTCGACAATGTCTGGGACACCGGAGTGCTTCCGGTGTCCTGGCGAACCGCGTGGTGGTACCCATTCTGAAGCCCCTGAGGAAGGCCACCGCGCTCTCCTCCTACAGGCCGGTGTCTCTAACATCTGCAGCCTGCAAGATGCTGGAGAGGGTGGCCTTGGAGAAACTGCGATGGATTGCAGACCAACTGGGCTTCTTCCCAGAGCAGCAGACGGGCTTGAGGTGACACAGGTGCACTGCTGACTCCATCACAGACGCAGTCGCTACCTTGGAGGATACCAAGAGCTGCGGGGATGTGGCCATGCGACTGCTCCTGGACGTGGAGAGCGCCTTCGATGGCCTCCTGCACGTGGTCGTAGAGGCTGCCCTAGACAAACTTGGCATCAGCGGTTGCCTCCGAAGCTTTGTGACTGCCTTCATGTCCGTGAAGACCTTCTGCGTTCGTGTTGGGGGACAGACCAGCCAGTCCAGGGTCATCACAACCGGTGTTCCCCAGGGCTCGGTACTAAGTCCTTTCATCTTCAACATGGCATTCGCAGGGCTTCCAGCTTCCCTCCCGACAGACACCAGGTTTCCGGCCCAGTGCTCTGCTTATGCTGACGACGTGGCACTTTGGGCAAGGGGGCCAAGGCGGTCCATCCCGGCCATCAGGAGGTCTCTGCAGGCAGCCCTATATGCGGTGATCGCCTTCCTCGGACGCATTGGCTTTAGGGTTTCTGCCACAAAAACCAAGGCCCTGCTGATTCACCCACTTGCGGCGGCACGGGTCCACGTGAAGCCGCTAAAGGTCAACAACCGCCGTCTCCCTTGGAGGACGACAGCGAGGTACTTGGGCCTCACCATTGACCACCGGCCCACTTGGATCCCTGTGTCCAAGGCCGCCTCAGCCCCAGGTCTGGCATGTCCAGGGTGCCGTCAGCAGGCTGCAGCAGCAAGGCCGCGGATGCTACACTAAGTGGGTGCTGCGGCTCAACCAGGCCGCGGCCACTTCTGTCCTGCTGTATGCCCTCCCGCTGGTGAATCTGATGCCAGCCAGGAGACGCCTGCTGGAGGGGCTGCACAGGGAAGCTCTGAGGGCCATCCTAGGACTACCTAGGAGCTCTCCTGTTGCCACAACGCTGGCGGAGGCGGGAGAGTGGCCCGTATCGCTACGCATGCTACAACGTGCGCTGGGGCACATAGATCGTCTTCACTGTGCTGCAGACGGTGCAGCTCTTTTGGCCCGCCTGCGCAGTCTGTCACGGTCCAGAATGGGTGGTCTCATCCCCTTCTACAACCAGATGGTACCGGATCCACCCATCTCTGTTGCCCCTTCATCGCCACACCTCCGGCCTGCCGTGGCCTGGCACAGGAACGTTCGAGGGTCACCACAGCCTACCGCAGACAGGGCCAACCTGCCACCACCTTAGACCACCTGCTCCACCCGTCCCGTCCACACCTGCCAGCGCTCCGGAGCCTGGCAGAGTTCCTGGAGGAGACGGGAATAGCTGCTTACAGATGAGCAGAGACCTGCCAACCCTGCCCCTGCTGCTGCCCCTTTGCTGCTCCAGCCATGGCCTTGACATCTTACACACACCCCTCCCCCACCCTATCTATCCTCTTTTACTCCCCTCCCCCGTCCCCCACAAGGCACTGCACCGTGTCGCCCAAGGGGCTGGGAGAAATTAGGTGCCTTCTTCCTCTTTCTAGAATCACTCAGCAACAACAACTCTTCTACGCGTGGCGCCTGCCGCGAACAGTTGTCTCTAGCGTGGGTCCTCGGCGCGTGGCACCGTGGGCCTTCGCGCCGGGGGGGGGGGGGGGTCACGTGGTAAGTCAAGCGTTAGCGACGCCACCTTTGGTGTGTTATTTTGTATTGTCATGTTTTGGAGCGTATAGTAATATTGTATACGGATGTCCTAGCGTGTTCATTACGATTGATGTACCATTCGGCGGACGATATTGTAAAATTAGCTAAAAAAATGTGTATTGTTTTTTGGTTTGTACCGACCATGTCAACTGTGTCCGTGCACTCCAAGAGCCTGGTGGTGGCGCTCGTCCGCCAATTCGAGGCCCCATTTGTTAAAGCTTGTGTAGCTTATCTTTTTTTCAGGATATTGTTTTAATTTAGTTTGAGGGGATTTGGGAGTGCTGACAGTCCCTGTAAAGTTATTTGCCCCGGGTCACTCATGTGTATCGCACCGAAGCTGTATTTCGGTGGTGACAATCACCGGGAAACAGATGGCGTTGTGTTCGCGTTGAGTATAGAGTGTCTCGATACGCGCGCCCCCGCTTAGTGTGGAGTCAGCTTTTGAAAGGGCAGATGCCGCCTCCTCGGTTTTGGCGGCAGCGTGGCCACCATTCTGGACCCCCGCCCGGTCACTTGTGCGTGGCGTGCGTGTTGTTTTTTGGTCGGTGCTCGTGTTTCAGCGTTCGCGCATGTTTCTGCGCTCGCTTTTATGCGCTGGCTTGCGTCACCCTGCTCGGGTGCGGCGTGCCGCAGTGCAGCAATCATTCTAGGAACGGCTGGAAGCTGTACCGATTTCCAAGAGACCCAAAAAGACGGCTTCTTTGGACGGCACAAGTCAAGCATGACAAGTGGCGTCCGCCGAATGCATCAGACATTTGCAGCATAAGTAAATATTTCTTTTTGAATGCGTGGTAATTTGATTAGCCAGCATTACTTGGCGCACCATTATTTCTTTGTTGAGAACGTAGGTAACGTCAAGTAGTCAAACGTCGTACAGCATATTGTCCGCGGCATTTGGACAGTACACGAGCGATTCGGGGTAGCGACTCCGCTGTAAGAAAATGCGTGAGGTAGAAGGCTGGTGTATTATATCAAATATAAAAGCACCCATCAACACCCAATTCTAATTTTCTTTGCAGGCTCACTTTGAACCGAACAACTACAAGGAAAACCGAGTGGATGGTTGGAAAAAGCTGAAACCAAATGCAGTCCCAACTTTGGTCTCCTTCAGACGTATGTTTTTAATTTTACTCTGGCATTACATAATGAAGTACCGATTACAGGCATTGTGTACATGCAGCTGCAACTTCAATACGGTTAAAACACAAGAGGAACGTTTATGCTGTGTCCAAATTAATTCATACATTGTAAACGTCTGAGTTTATTTCACTGTCTCTAGGCACTGACCAGTCACACTGGCAGCAGCTTTCCGCTATCGGGCACGAGGCTGTGCACTTGTTATAATCTCACGTGTAGTGACTATTTTACTCAAAGAAAAACACTCATGTACACGGGACCACAATGTACGTGAAGAGATACTTTGTGGCCTACTTTATTTCAAGCCCTCCACTAATGCCCTCTCATAGCCCACATCTGGCTTGTGGCACATAAAGCTCCGATTCGAATTAGAGGTTTTTTTGTGGGGAAAAGTTTTAATACAATTTGGTTAGGATACTGTGGAAACTCCGTAAGATATGCATTAGGCAAAAATTAGTCAGTTAGTAAAGCGTAGAATGAATTCCACGGTTCAATGAATCTTAATAGGGTGAAACAAGCTTCCCCCTATACCAGTGGAGAAGGTTGGGGCAACAACCTTCCTAGCTTTAAGAATGACCTTCCTAGGTTTAATGACCATTCAGATACCAGCAGCATTTGTTACGTTATGAAACTAACCACAGGCTCGACATAAGTTGGCATTACATGAAAAAATTTATAAATACATACGTTTCTGCTTGCAGCGCTGCCCAAGGAACGAAGACCACCAAAGGAAAGAACTGTGCCCGCACCCTCCGGTGGAGAGACCAGCAAGTCTGCTCCGGGGCTACGTCAATCTCCAGCTACAGTTGAGATACCGCGCGAGGAGGCCCCACTAAGCCATGCAGTTCATGAGCCTTCACTGGAAGGAATGTCGCGTTATGGACACGACGCCACGGAACTCAGCGACGCCGCAGTGAAACTGTCAGCAAACTCTAGTTATTCACATTCAGGAGAAGCCAATGATGCGGCTATTGAAACATCAAATGGTACTGGTGAAACGTCAAATGCTACGGCAGAATCAGCAGAACAGAAGAAGAATGCTGACCTTACAAGAAAGTATACTGAACTTTAGCAGCATCATGCTACTGCCAAGAACACAATCCAAAGTCTCAAGAAAAAAGTGCAAAAAGTTGAGAGTGACCCAACAAATATTTCGCAAAATTTGAAATTTCTGAATGATGATCAAGTTCGCGCTCTCTTAAGAGCAGCAGCTTGGGAAACTCTTCGTCTCCGCACACCATCAAGCAAGGCCTTCGAATTAAATTTTTTTATTTTATTTCTTTATTTTTGACACAAATGTATTGGTAAACAATGTTTACTTAGCATGTATTCTCTCGTGTTACATATTCTTTGTTACTTCTGTGCAAAGAACCTTTTCTAGTTATATCCCTAGGTATTCTTTCAAATTCTCATTGAGCTATGAACTTATCGAGCTTTTTGTGCATCTTTACATCCTAGATTTAAAACTTTTTTTGGTATGTTGCAAACAATATGCTTTGTATTTGTTGTTTAATATTTATGTATAACCGGTACAGAGGCCTTTTGTCAGGTATTGTTATACCTTTAGCTTCTGTACCTTTCTTGGTGTAATTCAAGAAAAATAAAGAATCTGAATCTGAATACTGCCCCTCTGCACTTCATCATGTGTACAATATGTATAACGCAATTTATGATAAACGGGCAAAGTATAAACTTAGCAAAAGAAGCCGTCATAACCACGCTTTGGTAGATTCGCAACACTAAAATTAGCGTTTTGTTATATATCTACTGCTGCTTCTGGCACGCATATGACTGTTTTAAACAATTATTTGCGTATTTGGAATGCAGAGTTTACAAGGCAAATAATTAAGTGTTTAGACTTGCCAGAACTCTCGTTTGTGGCCGAAGGAAGAGGATTCGTTTTAAATATAATGAAGTCTATACGTCAGCCTATAGTGCACAACACATGCACAGGCCGTCAGTTCATATTGCCACGTGCATAGCTGCATTTAGCGGCGAGATAGCAACGACAACGAAGAACGCGGATTTGCTCGAGAGACGCAGCGCAGGCGAGTGAAGAAGACGACAATCTTAGCGGCCTTCTCTGAGAGCGTCTCTACAAGCCTCCACTGTCCGCGTTTTTAAATAAACCCCCTGTAATTTATAATCCGCGACACTGGTGGAGGAGCTGGGTACTACCACCTCATGATTAGCACCCCTGTGAGAGGCCCCGAGTCCAGCCCTACGAGACAGCCACGCGTGGAGATGCCTGTGCACCGCTCAAGTCGTTGCCTTCAAGGTCTTGAACCAGAATTTGGCCTTTTAAAGGGAGAAACACCTTCGACAGCCACCCCTATTCAAGAAATGGCAAGGTGTCCTGCACAGGTGACGGTCCAGAATATGCGCATTCCTGAACCATTTCATGGCCGGCCGAACGAAGATACGCAAGACTAACCTGAGCAGTTTAAACGGGTAGCTAAATCGAACTACTGGAGTCTCGATGGAAAGCTCTTCCACGTATACTTCGCCCTTGAAAACGGCACGAAGACGTGGTTTATAAACCGGGAGGCAACATTGACGACATGGGAGGAGTTTTGTCGTCGGTTTCTTGACACCTTCGGTAACGCGGACCGGTGCGAAAACGCACAACGCCTTCTTGAAGGACACACCCAACAGCTGCATGAAAGCGTCGCCATGTTTGCTGAGGATATGGTGCATCTGTGCCACCGCGCGGACCCCAACATGCCCGAGGCTCGAAAGCTAAGCCATCTCATGAGGGGCGTCAAAGAGCAGCTATTTGTTAGTGTTGTGCGCAATCCGCCGACAACAGTGGACGAGTTCACCAGGGAGGCCACAGCAATAGAGCGTGCGCTGCCGCAACGGTACCGACAGTCTGATCGCCCGACCACCGGCGCAGCTGAAGGTGCCGTTGAACTTACCGCAAACGACGAGTTTTCTCTACGCCACCTGATTAGACAGATCGTGCGTGAGGAGATAGCAAAGGAGAACGCAAAATACACATTGCAGTCACAGGCGCCCCCGCAGCAGGAGTCCACGGTAGCCTCCGTCACTGAAGTCGATCGCCATGAACTTCGACAAGCGTTTGCCTCTCCTCAGCAATATTCCGCTCCACTGCACCGTCCAAACTCGTGTACCTATGCAGACGCTGTGCGTCGGCCATTGGCTCCAGAAGTATCCTACCAGCCGAACGGATACAGCTATGCAGACGCTATTCACCGACCCACGCCCATGCCAGCACCGCAGTACCTCGAACCGTATCCTGCGGCACCCTGGGCTCAGCAGGATTCTGTCAGGCGACCCTATATGCGGAAGACCGACATATGGCGCACTGCGGATCGCCGACCACTCTGCTACAACTGTGGAGAGCCAGGGCACATTTACCGTTTTTGCCCACATCGCCGAGCTGAATACCGCGGAAGTGCA